GGGAAAGATTTCCACCTAATGACCACTGACCAGGGCAGAGTTACCACGCAAAGGATCGCAACTCGTATCTGCTCGGTTTAAAGCGAAAACGGATATATAATACGACGAATGGCGGTTTGACTGCGCACGCGAGAGAGAAAACCAAGCACTCGAGCACTTTTACGCGGGACGCGTTAAAGTTATTTTAACAGCTTGGGAAGTTGCAGCTTTTTCTTAACCTTTTACGCGTGGAAGAATGCCACAAGATTCAAGTGCCTTGTTTACACATTTCATTAAGCTTTTCTGTTCTTGAACTTCTCGGAATATTTGCGCCATCAGCTCGGAGAGAAGTTGCATCCGTTGAGAGGAAACGGATTTTAAACCAGCAGTAACGTTAACCTGAGTTTGTTCTTCTTTTAGAAATAGCTACGCCTCCCTCGCGCTCCGTCGATGACTCTCGACAACTTGAAACACTCCGCGATACTCACATCTTTGTTTAAAATGGCTGACGATAATGATTTAATAGGTGCTACGGAGTTTATTAAAGGTGAGTTGACGTTGCTGAGGAGCTTCTGTTTGGCTAACTTTGATTCATTGTGTTAACGTTACCTCAGCCTGAGACGTAAGTTACTTGCTTCAGCCATCAGATACCTGCACCAACTTTTGCATTGTGTTATTGAATCTTATTAAACTTGAAGCAAGTTATTTATTAAAATGTAATTTTAGTTTGATTTATTGTTATTTTCTTAAAAACATTTAATTTATCATTTGCATGAAAAATGGAAAATAATAATAATAATAATAATATCTTGTTTTGTATTATTTGTATATAATAACGGGTCCACGGGTAATGCATCAACCCTGTTACCATGATAACTGTCTTTTATTAAAATCTCTTTATAAAATTATATGCAAACATTGGCATAAAGTCATCACCTCTTTGAGGCCAATGTTTTGTCTTTTTAGAAGGTCTAAAATGGTCAACCCTGTTATTCTTAACAGTTGGTTATTGAAAATGGGATATTTTCAGAAATATCAGCATTTATTTTTAATAAACACTTGGTAGTTTAATGACCTCAAGCACATGACTAGTGATGGATAAATGAACCGTCAACCCTGTTATTCCTGCTATAATATATACCTTCGTATACTGAACTTTTTTTTAAGTGTCACAATGCAGTTTATACTAATGGTGGCACTTCTTTGTGTGATAGAATATTTTTTAAAAACCCATGTGAATTCATAGATAAGTGGATTAGATTTGTGGAAAAATTTCTCTATCTTATCTGGCAAAATAAAGTAACATACATGATTTTCTCTTATTGACTAAAGTCCCAGTAATGTGATAATTCACATTCATATTTTAGTGTATTTAAAGCTACAGTGGGATAAGTCCATTGTTGCAGATGATTAACCCAAGCCAATAATCCGATGATAAAATCTTATCTCTGAAGAGTATTAATAGTTGTTTTATAACTGTACCGGCTTGTTTAATCAGCCATGTGTAATTTTTTCTTTTTTTGCAGATCGACTCTATTTTGCAACATTACGGAGTAAGCCGAAAAGCACCGCAAACACGCATTACTTCAGCACGGATGAGGAGTTTGTGTACGAAAAGTGAGTTTTCCCTCCCTCAGTCATCTTTCAGAGCCAAAACCCCCAGCAGGTGGGAAACTGTTCCAAAGTCTGTTACATAACTCTTTAATCGAACGCTTCCTTTAGTAAAAGTTGCATTTTTATCTCCAGCGTTCATTAATGGACCTGTCAATCATTTGTTTTGAATTTCCGCATGTGGGAAGATTAGAGAAAAATGGAACTAATGTTCTTCGCATCATTCTGACAGATATTTTGAAAGAAAACACTGTTTGAGGCTGACTTCCAACGATAGCTTATGGTCTTTTAGAAGACTACTCTTATCATAATTGCAAAATACAATGTTCGAATGATGAGTACGTTCCATTATGCAAATGTATTGCTTATATTTCAAATTGCTAGAATGAACACAACGTATGCATAGTACATTCCAAACGAGAACAAGATTTTTTTGTCTTTCTATATCAGTTTAACACCTGCATTGGCATTATTCCAGGTGTTTGGGCCACAGATTGAGGCCCCTGGCAGTCAAAGGCCCCAGGCCCTGGCCCCATTAGCCTGAGCCATTCCATCCATGTTGTCTATTTAACTATGACTATTTATTTATTATAGCTTTTATGCCGATTTTGGACCCCTCAACCTCGCTATGCTGTACAGATACTGCTGTAAACTCAACAAAAAGCTCAAGGTGAGTCAAACACCTGCTCGATTAGTTACGTTCCTCCCGAAGAATGTGCAGTATGTTGCTACACCAATTAAAAAAGCTGAGGAATTTACACTCACGCCCCGTTGCTGGATATTTTGGGCTGTCTGATGTGCTGACGCTTCCTTTGTTTGTAATATGGGATGGGAATTTAAACTTAATGATACAGCATTTAACTTCAGCTACAGCTAGAAAACATCCCATTCCGCCCTCACTTTATCAGGCCATCAGCTCGTTTTATGCCACGTCTGTAAGGCAAAACCGTTTGTGCTCATTTTAAATAAAAGCGACTCTGACCAGAAGCTCAATAGGATACATCACGTGCATCTTTAGCCATGTGTCTCCTGTCTTTTTTTAGTCTTTGTCTCACCTGTCTTGACATTTTAATGTGGACCGAGAGTGTCTCCTGGGACCACAGGATGTTTCTGGCTCAGGGCCTCTCTAAAGCTCAGTAGTTAAGGCCATGAAGAGATTTCTTCTTAAAAGAATATTCTGGGTTCTGTAAATTTGCAATGTGATGCTGATTACAGCAAAAATTAATTTGCTCTAGTCCTCCATCTTCATTTAAAAAAAGTACATTACTCTGAGAAACTTATAATGGAAGTAAAAGGGGCCAATTTGTAAACAATAAAATACTCGACAATAAAACATGACCTAAAGAATATGAGCATTTTCAATATGATATTAGTGTGAAAAAATCACTTACTAAGCTTTTCTGTATGAAGTTATATCCAGTTTTACAACTTCGTTGCCATGAAAAATCCCGAAACCATGAAAACAACAGTTTAAAGGGTTTTACATACTCAGTATTAATAAAATAATTAAAGTGCTTTGGTAAAATCATAACCATTTCCTTTAATCCACAATTCAGTTAGTATGAATACAAACCTTTAACCTGATACCTAGTCATTGAGCTCAGTTTCGGTGTATTAAACGTAAGCTGACATCAACCTGTTGGATAACGCCAAGAATATTTCTAATTTCTCTCGGCCTCTTAAAGTTAAGAGTTAATTCAGTGGTTTGATAACTAGTCATTTAGTAGTTGCTTTTATCCAAATGCTTTTCAGGGACAAGCTTCCCCAAGTGTAACCTGGGGTTAAGTGCCTTGCACAATGGTGCGTCTTGATCACTTTGGGAACTGAACCAGTCACCTTCCGGTTGCCAGCTTAAAACCTATCTACTAGGCCAAAGTTTCACTATTCAAGTCTTACTTTCTCTTTCCCCACAATTGTCATGGCATTTATCAGAATGTCAGCAAGGTACAGATTATGATCTACTTCGATCTCAATGCTCACAGTCTGTTGAGAAAGTGAGTTGCATGTTATGTCACTGTTCCTGATCCTTCCTTCTATCAGATGTAACAAATGTTGGGATTAGATGTGACCTTTTTTCTTTCATCCACTCAGACTTTAGCAGCAGCCACTGGCGTTGGCCTTGGCGTGTGGTTCATGCGTGTCCCAAGGATTTACGGAGGGGGATTAGATGTCTGAGTAGTGCTCTGCACACATCAGTTGTGATGGGGGAGGGTTATTATGTAATCCATCCCAATCCATCAACTCTCAGATTTTCATTTGATTGCTAATATAGACACTGTTTAAAGGGAACTGTTTTGTATTGTTTACGTCCTGTGAAATTATAGCTTTTACTAAGGTTACGCTAACTGCTTTCCAAAACCTAGTGAGCTTCCTTGCTTGCTACTCCCTACATAGACCGTTACCTTCTAAGGCAGCATTTTATCTGAAATGTAACCTCATAGGTGACTGATTTAGAACACTACATAGGCGCAACTCGGTGTGCCACACAAAATTAAACTCAATTGATTCCTATAGTTGTACATCAGCACGTTGCTAAGCTAACAAACTTTGTGAACAAGTCTGTTTTTTTATTAGAACTTTATATTTACTTTTCAAATGAAATAAGTACATTGTACACCGTCTTAGTTTTTTTAACTCATTGTGATGCATTCTGGGACCTTCTCCACTAATGATACATATGGTTCTTCCTAATATTTTGGCTAAAGGTTCTTAATAGTGCAATCCAGCCACCTGCCTTTTGGAAAGTACCTTTGCTGTTTAGGTAGGCAGCTCACTTTGTTTTGGAGCGAAGCTACAATGTTCCTCTGCTTTAAATGTAGTTGTTGAGATTCATCAGTCTTCAGGAGCATAAAACGGTTAACTTGACACGACTCCAACTTTAATTTCCAATTAATCTAAATTGAGAGGTCAGCAAAGAGGACCAAATCCAAAACACACAAGAAATTTATAGTGTCCTTGTAGTGATTAATTCCGCTGACATGTCCACTTTCTTAAGGAACTTTGCAAGCGAAAGGAAGGCGTTTGAATAATAATCAACCATTTTATCTTTGTGTTTTGTTCTGTGTTCCTAAAGCTGGCAAGGTGTAGTTCTCTCATGTGTTCATGTTTTGGAATATTAAAGGTAAAGTCCTGTGGTAAAAGCATGTGTTTCCCTCCTAACCACTTTCACTATGTCCACACCCATCCAACCAACAATATCCCCGCCTGTTTGTAATTTACAAGTTGTTGCCATAGAGATTTTTCTAACCTTACCGGTTTGGGGCTGCATGATTGGTTGAAGGCTGGAGGAACCAAACAGCAAGAAGGGAAGCTTGGGTAGTATCTGTTCTAGTATCTGGTTATCATAAGATCAGCTTTCTAGCATTGCTGAGTGGAGCTTGTGCAGTCTCAAGTTAGTGTTTTTAAGGCACAATCTGATAAAATAACAAACTGTCAATCTTGAGATTGCTTTTGTTTTTAAGCTGAACTTAATTTTTTTTACAGATTTCTTCCCCTCACTAGTATAACCACCTCCTGCATGGGGATGTTGCTGTTTTACATGAAAATGAACTTTCTGAGTGATTGTTAACATTTTGCTTATTGATTTGCCTGTAAAGTAAAAAAAGGGTTCAACCCTGTTTGACTCTGTGAGAAGAGATGATCTGTAGATGGCTAGAGAAAGGAAAGGATATTGAGTTTCCAAACTAGTTGACATTCAATATTGTTTTGCTTATCGATTTACCTTGGAAAGATGAACGGGTTCAACCCTGTTACTGTGACTCAATGAGAAAAGATGATCTCTACATCTTCACTTTCCAAACTAGTTGAAATTCAATATTGTTTTGCTCATTGATTCATTTTGGAAAGATACAATAATTCAACTCTGTTACTATAACTTTACAAGAAAACATGACCTCTATATCATCACTTTCCAAACAAGTTGGCATTCAATATTGTTTTGCTCATTGATCCACTTTCGAATGATAAAATGGTTCAACTCTGTTACTAAGACTTTGAGAAAAGATGACCTCTAGATCGCCACTTTCCAAACTAGTTAACATTTAGTATTGCTGTGCTTATCGATTCACCTTGGAAGGATAAAAGGGTTACTGTTACTATTACAATACTATATTGTAATAGTATATATAATATATATATACTAAATGTTCCTGTGACTCAGTGGTAGAGCATTGCGTTAGCAGCGCGAAGGTTGTAGGTTCAATTCCCAGGGAACACACATACTGATAAAAAAAATGTATAGCCTGAATGCACTGTAAGTCGCTTTGGATAAAAGCGTCTGCTAAATGCATACATTTAATTGAATTAATTTTAATTTGATATTGTTACTATATACTCTGAGAAAAGATGACATGTACACCTTCACTTTCCAAACTAGTTGACATTTAATATTACTGTGCTTATCATTGGAAAGATAAAAGGTTCAACCCTGTTATGACTTTCCAAAATTGTGAAAAGTTAAGACAGCGAATATTTATTAGAGGAAAAAAAAAGGCAAAAAAGTCAATTTTTTTCTTAAAAGAGGTTCTGTTAAAAAAATCTCTCAGCTTAGAGAGCTTTTGGAAAATTCCTTTCCTTAGTTTTGCCTTCGGTATGTCTCTTTTTCTTTGGGGGCGGATTGTAGGTGGACAAGTTTGAATCCTAATTTGTTGTGCCGGCAGTTTGTTTTCCACTGTTATGCCACCCCAGCCAAATCTTTACTCTGCGGCATGTGGAGCAACACAGGAACAGATGCTTTTTCAGTTCAGCTCGGCTCCGGCACAGATTATTCTGAAGCTTTTGGCTTGTGTCTGTGCATGAATTGCCTTTTAGCAGCTACATGCTGTCTGTCTTGCGCGCACATTTCGGCTCACCTGCAGCACTTCCCTGCTCGTTACTGCAGCAGCTGGGGCAGATGCTAGAACATCTGTCTCCAAATTCCCTCATGTAAAACACGTTCAATTGAGTCATTCAGAGAACACCTCAAGCTAGTTTAAGCACAAAAAGGGTGTTTGTTAGGCGTGTGAAATTGGTTGATACTGAGATTTTTGTTGATGAGATTCTCATAAGTTTCCCAAACATCTAACCAGCCATGTTAACTGTAAATGGGTTTGGAGTGATTTTACATTAACCAATAATAAATTATAAATAATAAATATTAAACCAACAAGTTAAATGATTGTTGCAGTTCTTTTTTCTTTTCATGTTAAAATGCTTTAACAAAAAGATTGATGCACTGATTGATGAAAATTTTTAGTTAAAATAGAATTGGAAAAAAAAAAACTTTATCCAGTTTTTATTGGAGTTCCATTATAGTGAAAACCATGATAAATGAATGATGAATATTGTTTTCTAATTAAAATTACAGTACTATTAATACAATTTCCAATTTTTGTATAAAAATGCATTTAATTTTCTGTTAACGAAAACCAAGTTTAATGATTGAAGCAGTTTTATGAAATTTGTTTGGTTTGTTAAAATGGTTTTTGGCAAAAAGTTTAACAGTTGGTATAAATTGCATAATGTAACAATCTTTTAATTTTCTTTCAATTTCTGAAATTGAAATGCAAATGTTGTACATTTTGGACGTTTTTAAAATTATTTTTGTTGACTAAACTTGGTGTTTCGATTTGATACAAATTGACTGTATAATGCAACAAATTTTGCATTACAGTTTCTATGAAATGCTTTTATGTCAGTAGCATTTTAAAGAAATTAAATTGCAAATGTTGTTACATTTTAAAAGACAGATAAAAAAAAAATTTGTTGACTAAACTTGGTGTTTGTTAAAATAATAAATAAAAAGGTTTAGTGGGAAAAAAAGTCCATTAATCTCTTAACATTGTTTTAAAATCATGTTTTACATTGTAGTGATTAATGCAGTTTTTTTTCTCAAGTTACAGTTTTGTTTCTTTAAAATGCCATTGATGCGGTTTAGTACTTAAATTGCAAAACGTTTAATGATTAATGTACATGTTGTTTTTGTTAAAAACTTACAACAGATAAGTTATGCATTTTTATGCTATTTGGGTTTCATTTTCAATAAAAACTACATTGAACAATTGATGTAATCCAAGCTATCCAAAATAAATTGCGTATTTAAAAAGTATTCTCGAACTTTAATTGCAATGCATTTGTTTTTCTTTCCAGTCGTTTACACTGACCAGAAAGAGGATTGTGCACTACACCAGCTTCGACCAGCGCAAAAGGGCTAACGCTGCTGTGCTCATTGGTGCTTATGCTGTGAGTATCTCACTTCTGTCTCTGTCACTGTCATTAATTGCTTTCACCGGTCTCGAGGATTTGCATCCAGGGCGGAGTCTGTCACGGCCCTGCAAAATAGCCACTCAGCTGTTTCCATTAAAACCAACAATCCTCCCACATCGACCTCAAATTCATTTGTCATACAAAGTCTTCTCGGATTTTTGCCAGTGTCCTAATTCCAGACTCCCCCTCAGAGACAGCGACAGATTGCTGACTGACTGGTGCGTCCCCCGCGTTGTGGCAGCACAATAACTATGTCCTTGACTGGCTCGCGTGCCAGTTTGTCCTGTTCCACTGCATTCATTCATGTAGACCACAATGTACACAGCGGTCGTTGTGAAACGCTATGGCCGTATGAGCCATGCCAGCTGATTGCGCCATTGGACATCTCCACTCTTCCTGTTCCTGGCGCTCTTAAGGAAGGACTCCGGTCTGGGCAGATTTATTGCTCAGATGGCACCGTTGGCTTTGTCAAAGGCACAGGTGCCAGCTGTAATGTGGGTCAGTGTACCATTTTGATAAGCCCTTCTTTTAAATGACTGCCCAGTTTTACAGGGTCATGGCACCATTTTTTCCCCCATAATATTCATAGTTTGATCTGCAAATAATCAAGCATGCACATCTACTCACGTATATTCAGTTTATTTGTGCTGATTTGTACTGACAAAGCAGCTACTGTCTCACACTATGAGATAAGCTCTGGGAGTTAAGAACGCGTCTTTCCTCATGAATATTGATGAGTCCTAAATGGCAACATGGACAGGAAGTGGTATGAGAGATGCTTCTCCAGTTTCCTTCAAAGAAGCAATTGTTAATTTATTCCTACTAGAACTCCAATTTCAAATATTAGGGAACTGAAAAGGGTGGTAGTGTTATACAATATCAACATCTTTTTTTTTTTTTTACCTGATTCTGGTCTATTCGAAGAGGGGGGAATCTGATGTTCCCTTGCTTTTCTTTGGATGAAACGCCATGACTAGTTATAATCTGGCTTTTTGTATAATCTGGCTTTGGACTGTGATGCAATGGCTGCGTGCCACCATAAATCCTGTGCTGGATGTTTGTAGCTGCGACTCAACTTTCCACTTTTTTTGAATGTTTTTGGTTCCCTTATATATTTAATTTGTCTTATTTTGCAAAAAAAAAAAAAAGTATTCAAAGCTACAGGTCAAAGTTTGGAATAATTAAGATTTTTAAATGTTTTTGAAAGATGCTTTCTAAAGGATCATGTGACACTGAAGGCTGGAGTAATGGCTAAAAATTCAGCTTTGCATCACAGGAATAAATTGTATTTTACATTTTGTTCAAATACAAAACAGTTATTTTAAGTTGTAATAATTTCACATTATTACTGTTTTTGCTGTATTTTTGATCAAATAAATGCTGCTTTGGTGAGAATAAGAGATTAATTTAAAAAACATTAGAAAAACCTTAATTATTCCAAACTTTTGACCAGTTGCGTACATTAAATCTGAGTCACTTTTATTTATATATATTTTTTCACAATATGATTTCAGTGTGAACAGTCAGAATTCATGATTCATGCAGTCTACATTCATAATAATGATTTATCCATAAAACATCGCATGCAATTCACAACTCAATTTACAGTTGGGATAAAACAAGTTATGCATATGTAAGTATATTTTGGGGAAAAATGTATATAAAACTTTCATATAATGATATAATTTGACACTAAGTTTGATGAACTTGAAATGAGTGTACGGCATTCAAAAGATTGTGAGGTAAACCTGACAAAGAATCTACAGAAAATGTGGGCTGCTTTCATTTTTGTCTTTGCAATTCTAATTATCTTGCAAATATCCCTCAAAGTTGGTGTACTTCCTCAAAATCGGTCTACTAGGAATGGTCACATTTACCCTGCCAGTCTAAATTTAGTTTGAACCTTGATCCCGGTCTTAATTTACTTGTCTTAAATGGAAACTCATTTTAGCTTCCTTCAAAAACCCAACCTCTAGAGACGGCCATCAAATCTTGCAGATTCTCTCCTATAGACTCAATAAAGCTTGTGTTTTAAATAATTCTCTCATATACTACCGTAATCATTTCCAAATTACATAAAACCTTGTTTCTGCTCTACATGGTCTTGCCCATCACTCACTGCATGCATGGACGTGTGTTCAATGTAGTGCTTTTGTCTTTCTGCTCTTGGAGTGAATCTTCTGTAAGTAGGTTTTTATTGATCCAGGCTTGTGTGGGATGTGCTCCTCTGGCAAGCGCAGATGTTTGCTGCTGATCTGCCCTGCAGTAGACGACCCAGTTTTATCATATGAAGGAGATTATTTGTACTGGTTGAACAGCTGGGCTAAGATCATCCATCTGAGTCGCATGGGACAGTAGGGCACAACACAAATAAACAAACGCTGACCCTTTTCACGGGACTGAACTTAATCTGCCGAACTGTTCAGCTAATTGTTTGGCCAGTGCATATTTCATGAGCTCGTGCAAAAATTATAAAGCTCTGGCCTCCTGCAGAACAGACACAGCCTTCAAAAGCAAAACACGAACTAGGAGTGAGGTCAAGTGTTAGTGTTGTCAAGTACTGGAGATCTTAAAGTTTAGTTCAACCAAAAATGAAAATTCTGTTTCTTGCGTTGTTTCAAATCTGTATGTTTTTTTTTTTGTAGAATAAAAAAGTTATTTTGAAGAGTGTGCAGGATGCTCTTTTCCATGCAATTGGCAAGCCATGCCGCTCTCACGCAGTGAAAAATACATCGCAGCGCAAAGAGTAAACTGACAACGCGCCAACAGACAAGAAAGAGCAGCTTACTTTTAGTGTGAATCAAATTCTCAGCTTACAAATTTTGGCATTTTTAAAGAAATTCAAACAATAAATACTGTTTTGTTGCTTTTTTATGTGTCGTGACTCGTGACAGATCACTGAAACACCTCAGTTCAAGTGACACGTGAACCTAGTGTTGTCACGGTACCAAAATTTGGTACCTGGTACCGTAACGTTTTCATTTTTTTAGTACCGACTTGGTACCGAAATACCGGGTCTTTTGACAACACTACGTGAACCCATCATCTCTTCCTTTTTACTAGTTATAGCAAAAAATAAACATGAATGAAAATCAAACGTGCTGCAATTTATAGTACAAATAACGCAAAACACATTTGGATTTGTGGCGAATATAGCGCATTTCCCACATGCCGGTAGTTGTAGTTTTAATTTAGGCTTGTTTTGTTTAGTAAATTCGTTTAGGCTTGGCGTTTCTAATAAATGTTGTTTTAAATAAATGTCACTGTAATTTGTTTGCTTTATACTTTCCTGTACATTCCTGTTTTTTTATTTATTTAGTGGATTGGTTATGGAGTGTTTATAGTGTATTTATTGTTTTTAAACAATCAAATTCATTAATGAACCGGTATTTTTCATTACGTCGATGCAACTTATGTTTGCTATAATGCAATTTTGACTCTGTGTAACTTATAGGCAGGTACAATTTATTATTTACAGAAAAAATTACTCCTTATTTACAGAAAATCACAATTATAAGAGAAGTAGCTATGTCAGATTTGTGGATGAATCATTCTTTTTAGCTGAATCATTTCAGTAAATCGCTTGTAGTTCACAAAACTGGTATGAATGATTTGTTCACAAATAAAGGGAATTTTTCGGTGAAAATTTAATTGAATATTTTAATGTTTTTGTGCCTCTGTTTTGAAGCTTCACACTCAGTTTTTTGTAATTGCATGGAAAAGAGCGAGCAAAATTTTTCATTTTTCTTCCATGGACAAAATAACATTCAGAAAGAACTGAGTGTGAGTAAATTACATCATTTTCATTTTTGAGTTGACCTACCCCTTTTTCTTTGTTTAATTCATGTTGGGCTTTGGCGCGGTTCACATACGTTTCTTTTCTGTGTTGGCACCATACTGCTGCATTCTGACATCAAGCCACAAAAATGTTGAAGGAGTGAGCGGAGTTCTTATTATAGAGTCCTTTTCCATGATGTCAAGAGGGATTGATGTGGATGTAGGGAGTAGATGACCGCTAAAACTCGTCGCTTCAGCAAGTCTGTGTGTGCGACTGCCGCACTGTGCCGTGACAAATCGTCCCAGCTTGAGAAGGGCCCCATTGTGCTGAGCCACAACATCTCATCTGTGTGACACATTCTGCCCGAACATCACTTTCCTGAAAGTGCATTTGTGTATGGGATAAAGAGGAACACGGACAGACGTGGAGAGGAAAAAGATTGAATTGGGGGTTGGGAAGTAGTGGTGTCCCATTTGTGTACAAATTGTTCTTTCTGGAAATCAGATTGTGATTAACAGATTTGACAAGAAAAATTATTTTGCACGATTGTCGACTAAAATATTTTCATTTCAGCCGGTGAACTGGACTAAAATGATGAAATACTGGCTAAATTTAAAGGATATTTTCATTGACTAAAACCAGAAAAACTGAGTATCTAGAAATTAATTGTTTCTAACCAATCATTTTTTCCCCAATCAGTTAATCCAATTGTAAACCATCTAAATGAAACGGTTCACTAATAAGTACTGTGTTTAAAGTCTGTGTTCAAACTGTCATTTTAATATGATTTAAATACAATTATAGTATTTACTAATATTTTAAGTGGGCTTATTTTTTATTTTTACATTTTCAGTTTTCATTATTATTTTAGTTTTAGTAATTTTAGTACTTGCTTATTTCAGTTTGTTTCCACTGCAACATTTCTAATTTTCATTTGTTCTTTTTCATTTAATATTTATATTTAATTTTATTTCAGCATTTTCAGTTATTACAGTTATTACCAAAAATTTTTACCAAAATAATTATTTGGCCAACAATTGCCAGAAATTATTTTTATTCGTTAACACTAACAACACTTATGTTAAAGCCTATAGAATTAGTACCTAGCATTCAGCTGCTTTGCTGGTGCACTAATGTAATTTCCTGTTCATGTTTCCCGTCTCAGGTGATTTACCTAAAGAAAACACCAGAGGAAGCCTATAGAGCCCTTATTTCCGGCTCCAATGCCTCATACCTTCCCTTCAGGTAAGCACCCACCACATATCCACATCTTTTGCAAAATGGATTAAAAAAAATACAAAAAATGTCTGTTCTTGTCAAACCTTTGCTAATATATATTTTGCCTAATTTCTCCCACTTTCCTCTCTCTCTCCCTTGCTTATTGCACACTGCACTCTAATCTGATTTTGCATGAAATATTGTCTCTCCTGTGGCTCACAGGGTTTTTAATGCGATAAACTTCTTTGCCCAGATAAATAAACAAGCAAAGTGGAAAAACAGCACAAACGTTTTGCAAGCCATGAAGCTGACAGGCCAGATAGTTGTTGTCGTGCATCTATATAGTGATGCTCATAATTGCAGCGGGATTAGATTATTTTGCCTCTGCGGGTCGACATCTCTGGCCTTTAATTTGGGATTACAGCGTACGGCTGGGTCAGCGCACTCATGTAATCTCTTTTTTTGAGCTGAATTCTGGACTCGGTTCCAAACTGTCGCAAAGGACAGGACACTAAAACCTTTGAGCTGATGGCCATACGCAAGGCTGAGCAGGACATACGTAAGGCCCTTGAGCAGGAGGAAAACCATCTGTGGCAGGTTCTAGACTCAGTGCAGCTGGTGTGTAGTGGTAATCTACTCTGTCAGATTTGTGAATGGGTAGAGAAAGGGACAATTCTGTTGTGAATGGGTCATCTTGTTGGATAATAGTGTTGTCATTTTAAAATGAGAGTAATAGGTGTTCACTTGTACTTTTGTGTAACTTTTTTTATTGGAAGGTGTTACTGTTGAGATTGAATCACTAGACTCTAGTGGTGATTTATTAGTAGTGTTCCCATGCAGTATAATGTTTAAAAGGTGATTAAAATAAATAGGTAGGATTGCAATGGGAGACAGGAAAAAAAGAGTTGGAGTCATGGCTTGGTGGTTAGCATGCAAAAAAAAAAGTATGTATATAATACATTTAAAAAATATATATCATATGTAATAATAAATAAAAGTATATAACAATTTGGCCTTAAATATTTAATTTTGAATATTTTTAAAATGTTAATATAACATTAAGTATCTTTTAATTAATAATTTTTAAAAAATTTATCAAGTGAGAGATTTTCTCTCTCTTGTTGTTTTATTAAAATGAATGACAAACAGCAGGAATATTAGACTGCTGTCACTTTAAGAGCTTCCCAGATTCAATGTACTGTAACATATGTATTTTCTTTCTCAGCTGTTTGCTTTCACTTGAGACCTAAATTACTGTGTTTATGAGGATACTTGCATAGACGGGCATTTTGACAAACAAGTGTGTGTATTTAACCGTTCAAGGCCTATAAAGCGGCAAAAATAACTCCCGTGCTCTGAGCACCATCTTCATGTGCACGCGCCTTTCAGACAGCACACATATATAGTGAAATTAGTTCTCTTTCGCTACTGATTGAATTTCAATGGCTTAAAATCACTTGTTTTTAAACCGCAATGATTAAAAATGCAAACGATAAGTTTTTGTGACCATGTAGCACAGCAATGTCAAGTGAGCGTGTAACCACAAATTTCTACCGTTTAATCGTGTCTACCGGTATTTTGCCCGCCCCTATTTTTATTACATTCTATGTGATGTATATGATATGGCCTTAAATATTAATTTATTTTAAATATTCATGCATTTGTAATCATGTTATTTAAAGAAAATATATTGAGTGTATTTTAATGAATAACCTTTAATGAATAGTTTAATTCATGTATTAAATTTGCTTAAATGTAATACAATTTCAATGATTAAAAACTTTGCAACGGTGAGAGAGAAAGAATAGGTTTAAAACAATATTTCAGGTTAAATTCTGGGGAAATTGACTGATATCTTATTTTTGAGAACAAACTGTTATTTATTCCATTATATTCCTTTTACAGTTTTATGGTGGTCACATGATGATTAATGTGTCTCCAAACTCAGTGCGAGTCTATTTTTCCTGTCATGCTATATGTAAGACAGTTGTGGATTTGTGCTAGTCTGACTGCTGTTTGGTTATTATACCACCCAGTCGCCCTGTTAGATGCTAGCCGTGGTTCCAAGACGCCCCCCCCCCCTGCTGTTTCTTAAAATGACGAGGAATTCCCATGGAAATATTATTTAATCTCCTAAAACATTGTTCTTTCTCTTTTAAAACCACTCTGTCACACAGAAATCACAGACACATGACATTTTTCATTACCATGTAGTTAGTATTCCTGGTTAGTAAGTCCTCTTGGTTGTTTTCCACCATCAGATGAGATTTGACCCCTCAGCTCTGTCCTCCCTATTCACTGACCCAGAAACACAAAAGTCTTAAAGTTCACCCAGGCCAAGCACATAGCTGCATATTCTGTTATGCATGCATATATAATGAGGGACACATGGCCTCATCGAACAGAAACACTCATTGTTAAAGTGGACTCTCTTTGGCTAATGATTCAGAGCTGTATGCACTGAATAGTGAAGAGGCCTACATTTTCTAAATCTGCGATCTTCAGTGCAGTCCCATGATGCTTTTAACCGAGGGTTTATGAATTTATGGAACAGACCGTATATCTGTGCTTTCTGAGATAGGCTGTAAGTGCTTCCGGTATAGATTAGCTCTGGCCTCCAAACAGTTTGGAAGCATCATTCACTGAATGCAAACAGGAAACAGCAGCTTTGTTTTTAAAGTGCTGTTATTAATGCTTTTCCCAAAAGGCTGAAATCTCCCTTTGGTTTTCTTTGTAACACAAACTTTCGTGTCATCAAGGGAATTTTTTTTTTACTCATTGACCGTCATTGGTCTCTGAAACCAGAAGGAATTATGTTACTCATTAGTGGGTTTATTGGTCAACATGTCTATTGTGTGGGCATTAGTTCAAATGCTCTTGCACTTTATCCAACACTTCCTTTTGAGTAACAGTTGAGTCATTATCAAAAAATATGTTGACTTTCTGACTTGCGAAATGTTTTTGAATTAAATTCAGTTTTCCCTTAAAATTAATTAATTAAAAATATTTAAAAAATTAAATATTAGGCTATATACAGTGGGTACGG